TTTTTTTTTTTTTTTTGAGACAGAATCTCTCTCTGTTGCCTAGACTAGAGTGCCATGGCTTCAGGCTCTCACAGCAACTTCACACTCCTGGGCTCAAATGATCCTCCTGCCTCAACCTCCTGAGTAGCTGGGACTACAGGTGCCTGCCATAACCCCCAGATCATTTTTCTATTTTTAGTGGAGATGGCGTCTCACTCTTGCTTAGTCTGCTCCTGAGCTCAAGCGATCCTCCGGCTTCAGCCTCCCAGAATAGGATTATAGGCTTGAGTCAGGGCGCTGGGCCCCTTTTATTCTGTCTTTTCCCCTGAAATAGCAAGCAGGTTTGGGGGTTTACAGAAGGCCATGTCCTAGCAGGACTCTGGAAGAAGTGGGATGGGAAAAGCGTCTGTTCCACACCTCCTTGCCTCTCCTCTAGCTGGAGTGGACTTTCCAGAGTCCTGCTTTTATATTATCATCCTTTTGGCTGGAAAGAGGCTTGTCAGGGTGGCAAGCAAGGGGGGTCACTGGTGGGCATTTTGGTCAACTATTTCTGTGCCATGTAATAGATCACTCTGACCTCCTTGGCTGCCATTTCATGGGCTCAGGGTCGTTGGGGTCAGGGTGTTGGCAGAGCAGAGGTGAGGCCAGGGAGGAGACTCTGCTTCTCCTGGGTGCTGGGGTCTGGTGCTGGGTTGCTTAGGGGGAGGCGGGACCTAACTGTAGGGCCCTCCTGCTCCACATGGACTCTCCAGCAGGGTGGGGGGCTTCCCACATGGCAATTCGGGGCCCCTGAGAGTATAAAAGTGGAAGCCGCCAGGCCTTCTAAGCTCAGGCTAAAACTGGCAGAATATTGCTCCTGCTGAGCTCCACTGGTTCAAGTCCTGGGCCTTCCTGAGTTGAAGGGGGGAGGGGCTGACCAAAACTGTGATTAGTGGGAGGGGTGTCTCACTGAGGTCACCAGCCTGGGGCCAGGTCTATCTAGGAGGAAGACTAATTGGGAAGGGTGACCCCAGGTCTACTGTGATCCTGTTGCCCTCCAGCTGAGGCTTCTGAGTTACACAGTGGTGGGCACCTCTCAGGGCCTGGTCATTTCTCAGCTGCCCAACCCACTTTGGGCACTGGGGCCACTGGCCCTCAGCCTTCCTGCGTCTCTGCCCCTTGCCCATGCTGCCTTCATGGGCATGGGTGGGCAGGAGGCCTCCCTGCACAGATCCCCGCCGCGGGACCTGCTCTGTCTTCCCCTTCCTCATACTTCTCTTAGATCCCACCCTTGCCCCCACCCTTTCTTGCCTGTCACATTTCCCACCCCAAAGCCACTGTCATGTGCCCCTCCACAGGCCGCCTTGTGTTTTTATCCCCTCTCAATGGATGCCTTTTGCCTTCCGCCACCTGAGCAGAAGCCCTCAGAGCCCAGGATCTGAGCCCAGGACAGCAGGGAATGTTTGTCAAGGAGAACCAGGTGGGCTGATACCGAGAAGGCTGGGCAGATGGCCACTGTGGTGACCCACCCTCCCTGCCAGGGGACACTGGGGAAGTAGGAACAATAGGCACTCTGGTCTCCTGCCAGCGAGGCCATATGCGATAGAACAGGAGCTGGCAGGCAAGGTGGCAGCTGGTGGGGAGAGATAGGAGAGGTGTGAGGGTCAGGCGGAGAAGGCTTCTCTTTTGGGGAGGACCCTCAATTCTGCAGGGGCCAGGCCTTCACCCTGCTTTCCTCCCATTTCACAGGCAAGGTCCTGGGGTTGGTGGGGGGCAGAAGCCAGCCTGATGTTTCTCTCGCCGCAGGGCCCACCCTTCCCCACTGACCCAGGCCACTTTCATCACCTCCCTTGTCCCAGGGAACTGCCATATCCCAGGGAGGGGACACCAGGGTGGCATGAACAGGCAAATGTGGCACTGGAGGGCATGAGAAATGGCATTCTTTATTCATAAATAAAAACATAAAATTACCAGAAATAGTTTACATGGCCAAAAAGTAATGTCAAAAATAAAATCAAATGAAGCTGTCAAAAGCGAACTGAACCAAAAGAGAACAGAGAAAAATAACTATGTACATCTTCTTCCAAATGCCAGTCCATCCAAAGCTGGCGCCTGCCACAGCATGAGGACCACCTACATGACAGGCAAGGACAGCAGGCCCTTTGGCTGCGGCAGCAAGGGTGAAAACACAGGGCCACAGGGAAACCCTTCTCCCAAAGCCACACCGCCACAACAGCCAGCCTGCCTCATGCTTGGGCAACTCTCTCCCCTAAGAGACGGTCCGGGCTGGCGCCAGCAACAAGATGCTCTCTGAGTGCCTCTCAGGGGCACTCTACTCCCACTCCCAGTCCCATGCAACCTTGCTTGGTGCAAGCAGGAGTTCCCCAGAAGATGCCTGTGAAGATGCCTCCTGCGAGCCTGGTTATTCTAAGGCCCAAAGGCAGAGACCAGAGACCCCTCCTGGTTGAGGTGGTGCTGAATGGAGCACTCCCTTTGCAGACAGCTGGAGCATTTGCAGGCCAGGCATCCTCGAGAGACCTGGGGGCAAGTGTGCCAGGTGGAGTGCCCAGAGGGAAGGGCAGTGAGCCCATGCCAGCCTGGGACCTCTGCTGTTTAGAGCTGCCTTCCAGAGAGGTGGGGTCTGGCATGGTCCAAGAATAATAAGGATGCGTGTGGACAAGGAAAGGAAGAAAACCCATAAGAAGGCGAGGTCACTGGGAAACAGGACTTTTGCATTCTGGAGCCACCTTGGGCCACCCTGGGGCCTTGGGCTGGTGGCAACCCAGGGAGGGCTTTTGCCATCTTAGATGATGGGCAAGGCCTGGGTAGACATCCTAGGGATGGCCTGGGGCAGGGTGAAGGAGCTGTGAAGAGGGCTGCGCTCCCTGTGGGTGGAGGCTCCATCACCCAGCAGTGGAGCACAGGCTCTGTGTCTGAGTGCCTGCCCCTGGGGTTGGCACCCACCTCTTCCCAGGTAAAGACTTGCAGGCAAAGTCCTGGGCTCTGGGGTAGAGGCAGCCAGCCCCCTCTCTCTCCCAGTGAGACACTGGGAGGAAGGACTCAAACAAGGCACAGGCTGGTGGGAATTTGGAGGACCCAGGGCCGTGAGGCAAGAATGGGACGTCTTTGACTTCTGAACAACTCCTAGTGGAGGTACTGCCCTCCATACAAGGAGGGGGCTCTGGCCTGCAGATTCCAGGTTTAAATCTAGCTTGTGACTAAGAGCAGTGGTTTGAAATTCTAGAAATCTTCCTCTGTCATTTGTGGACTACAGGACAGGCACGGCTTAGCCTGGGGACCAGAAGGTGGGGCCAACCATGGGGAAGGTGGCCCTCCCATCAGCCCACACCCAAGCAAGGGCTGTGCGGCTGTGAGGGGGTGGTGGGCAAGAAGGAAGGGGAGCCCCCTGACCCCACCCCCAGTGCTGGGGAGGCAGAACTAGGGATGGCCTCAGACTGTCAAGTACCAGACTGTCCCCCAGCTCAGCTCAGCAGGCAGGCGGGAGGCGCCGGATCCAGCAGGGCTGGCTGTCCTGAGAACAACAGCTGTGGCTAGAGTCAAAAATAGAAGACAGAACAGCCTGCGAGGTCTGGCTTGCCTCTGAAAAGACAAGAAAGAAAAAAGGAAGAAGAAGACAACAGAAGAAGAGAAAATTCCCTGAACCAAGCAACTTAAAAAGTCCACGTTTCTCTCCCACCTCCAGCTCCGCACATCTTCAGGAGAGAAACCCTGGCCTTCCCCGGGCAGTGCCCGGGCCCCTGAGAAAGCTGCCACCGTCCGGATCCTTTATAGTCTAGGGTCCCTGGGGGCCTTGAGGGGAGGGAGGACAGGACAGCTGGTGGCCCACGGCTGTTCCTACCGCAAGCCTCTTCTCCCTGCCTGGGGCTCTGGCCCACTGGCACTCTGGGGCCCCCTCCTGATCTGTAAAGACCCAGCACTTAACATTGAAGGTGCCAGAGGGGGAGAGGTGCACATGGAATCTGGCCATAGGCACAGGAAGATGTCCAGACCCCAGACCACAGATGAGCCATCTCAGGGGACGTGGGTTGTTCTGCATCCAAGTAAAACCTGGATCATTGGGAAGAAAATAACATACCACAGTAGCCACCAGCCAACTCTGAATCAGGGAGGGACATCCCTGTCTCTAGCCCCAGATGGAGGGATTCAGAGGCTCTGCTGGGACCACTGAACACCCACCTGCTCTGTGTCCCAGTGCCTTTGACCTTTCCTTCCCAGAGCCCATCCCAGGGCTTCAGTGTCTATGACTTTTGGAAGAGTGGGTACTGAGGTCCAAGGCCACCTGCTGTTCCCAGGGTGCTCAGCTTCAGTTAGCAGGAACCAGCAGGTAAAGCTGGGCCCAGGGCCTGGCTGGTACTGGCCCACTACCAGCTCATGTGACTTAGTTTCTCCCTCTGACCTCCTCAGTGTCTGCTCTGCTGTCCCCTCCTTCCTGTGGCTCACTGGGACAGCCTTGATGATGCTTAGCAAGGCTCTCTGCAGCTCTACAAACCCACTATCTCCAAGGCCAGGGTAATAAGCAGTTCAGGTTCTGACAGGCCACGCTCCAAGGCTTCTGGTCACAAATGGCTTCTTTCTTCTCTCAAGGCATTCATTCCAGTGTGTCCACGGAGAAAGGGAGTGGGATGAGGGCGAAAGGGAGCCTCATATTTGGTGTGGCCATGTGACCCTCAGGGAAGTAGCCACCTTCCCTGGTTGGGGGTGGGTGTGTCTCTAACTGTTGTAACAAAGGCCAAGGTTTAGGGAGCCCTTAACTAAAGCATGGAGACCCCTGGCTTCATCCCTTGGGGAAGCCACAGGAGTCAGAGCCCAAGGTCCAGCAGGCTGTGGGGTTGGTGAGCACTGGGACATTGGAAAGGGGAGGGATGGCCATCCTGCAGCCCCTGCTCAACACTTGGGGACCCTGGCCTGTGCCCCAGCAGTGGCTTCTCTCAAAGTGGCCCAATTGCTGAGCAGGGGAGGTGGGAGGCCAACCCTCCCTAAATGGGTACAGCCTCTGCCCCCCAGGGCCAGGTCCTCAGGCCTAACTTTCCCAGGTGGCCTCTCAGATCTCAGTGGCTATGATGTCCTCGTAGGGGATGTCAGCTCCTTCTAGGTCAATCTCCAGGGACTCCCCTGCGCCATCCCCGCGGGCCAGCCGCTGTAGGGCCTTCTCCAGGCGCTGGTTCCGCTGGTACATGGCCAGGTAGCTCTGCTGCAGCTGCTTCTGGTACCGGATCACCTTCTCCTTCTCCTCCTTCCACACCAGCCGCTCGTGTTGGAAGCCTGAGGACATCTGGTCGTGGCCTTGCCGCTCCTCGCGCAGCTCGGCCCGCAGCCGCTCCAGCTCCCGCTGCAGAGCCGGGATATCCTCGGGGATGGCAGGCAGGACGGGCTCCCGGGGCAAGGCGCGCAGCTCTAGCAGCTCCTGCTCCAGCAGGTTCACCTTCTCCCGCAGCAGCTCCGCCTCGTTCTTCTTGCGCTGCAGCTCGTTCTCGCACACCTCCAGCTCCAGACCCTTGGTGCGCAGGGCGCCCTCCAGGTCCTGCGTCCTCAGCTCCAGGCCCTCCAGCTTGCCCCGTGTGTCCTTCAGCTGCGCCTTCAGGCTGAGGATCTCACTGGCCTTGGTGTTCACCTCCGTCTGGGACTCCTTCAGCTGCTGCTTCAAAAGGGAAATCTCGCCTGACTTCTGGCACACCTGCCGGGGAAGGGGCACAGGGACAGAGCATTAAGAGGTGAGTGTCCTTCTCCATGAATGTGGTGGCTGGTGGTCTGGGTGACTGAAAGCCAAGTGCCTCTTAGAGGGTCTTTTTTTTTTTTTTTTTTTTGAGACAGAGTTTCACTATATTGCCCTCGGTACAGTGCTGTGTTGTCACAGCTCACAGCAACCTCAAACTCTTGGGCTTAAGTGATTCTCTTGCTTCAGCCTCCTAAGTAGCTGGGACCACAGGCACCTGCCACAATGCCTGGCTTTTTTTCTGTTGTAGTTGTCATTGTTGATTAGCTGGCCTGAACTGGGTTTGAACCCGTAACCACTATACTATGGGCGCTGAGCCACTCTTTGAGGGTCTTATTATGCTTGTTGTCTGGCTCAGGCTGTCTACGTCCCTCCCTCACCCCCAATTCAGGGCCTAATCTCAGCCTGTGCAAATCAGTGCTCAGTGGTTGAATGTGCCCACTGCTAGCTCTGTCACCCACACTTAACACAGATGGTATTGGTTTCTGTGTCAGCTAGATTTCTATCATGCACGCTTATGCCCATGCTCCCTGACCTCACCCCTTCTCTCCCCTCTCTGCAGTGATGAGCACAGGGCTGGATGAGAGGCAGAGCTCAATGTCTACCCCCCAAATGTCGAGCTAGCGAGTTCTGCCCTAGCCCTTCTGTCACCATTTCCACTTTTGTTCCCCACCAAAATTGGGCCAAGAGCAACGAGGAGAACCGAAGCCACATATCAGACCCTTGTGTCTCTGGGGTCTTGGCCATTTGGGTCATAGGCCAAGGTTACTCTGCTGGCTGTGTTTCAAGGTGAAGAAAGGCCAGCTCCTGAGGCTCTACAGAATGCATTCTCGCAACACGACTGGAAGCTACTTAATATTTCCTCACTTTCCCCCTCCTTGCTCTTGGGAGTGGGGGTGGGGGGTTGCACAGTCCTAGAGGACATTCAGCCCCACCCACGATGCTTAGTTGGGACCAAGCATTTCCTTCCCAGGCCAAGCCTATGTTCAGTCATGAAGGGAACAGATGGGGTGATGATGGCTGAAACGTGGGCTTGGATCCCACCTTGACCACTGCTGATGCGGGTGATCTTGGCTACATTATCTATGGCGTGGTGGCAACATGGTATAGTGAGATAATCCTACTAGGAGCAAATCCTAATTTATAACACACATATATCAGACCTTGGGCTAGTTGCTTAATTTGTTGTTGGCCATGGTGACCTCTCTGTGCCTCAGTTTCCTTAACTGTAAATTGAGGGTTTGTCATAGTACCTATGTCATTTAGCCATCGTAGGGAAAAAAATGAAAGAACCTGGAACTTGGCACTTACAAACACTCTCTACGTTATTATTATTATAAACGTGTTTATCATAACATATGTGCCATTCTAAGTTATTCTTATTATTATTTATTTTATCATTTTACTACATAGCCTGACTGGACAACCTGGGCACAAGGCCACGGCAATGTCTAGCTTAGTTTCAGACCGACAGGCAAGGCTGGTGCCTAATGCCGGCATGAGCTATACATCTTGGGTGTGGTTGACACCGTGGCTGGTGTGGGGCCTGCTGTGACAACATTGATGTGGAAAGAAAAGGCAATGTCCCGTGGCTAGCAGCCTTTTCTCTCTGGGAAGCCTGGCGAACAGAAAGTGATCGTCCCCTCCTATCGGGCCAGTCCCCCCATCAGCTTCATCCATAGAAAGGATGCTTCTTTCCCTGCCCCTAAAAATACTGTCACCCTACTTCCCAGGACGAGTATGGGATGCTCCAGTGCCAACAGGTGGCCGTCCTGCCAAGGGTCACCCGACAGGGCATGGTACTAGTCTGACTATACCCAGAAACTCTCACCCCTTTCCTGGGGGGCAATCTTTGGGGTGAATGACGGAGTTGCCATGCCCACACCCCCACCTGGTGCCCTCCTGCCACACAGTGCCAGTTGTTGAGAAAAGCTGCATTCCGGCCAGCAGGATACAGGGTAACACTGCTTCCCTGGCACGGGCAGGTCCAGATGCCACGTTCGGAGGTGTGCCTGAGTGACAGCATGTGAGTTTGTGCGTGTGAGAGCTTTTCTTCCTCTCCTAGGTTCCAGTCTCTGCTCACTGAATAGAAGCTCTACTTCAGTGGTTCTCATTAAAGGGCTGCAACATTAGGAAGGTTGAGAACCACTGCTCTACTTCTTGGGGGACTGGCCATTTTTGTCACTGAGACCTGCCCCAAATAGGGTCACTCTTTATAGTGGGTGGGATCCCTTCTCTCAAAAGCAACAAATACATTTTAAGCTCTCTTAGGGCCTTGAGCCTGCTTGTGCTTCTCGGAGCCTCTCTGAGCAAATGGCCTGAGGCCGCCCCTCTGCCTGGCTGGGCCTGGCTTCCCTGGCTTCTGGTTTCTCAGTCAGCGACTGGGTTAGGAAGTTCCAATCTGGGGGCTATGAGGGTGTGCTGGGAGAGGAGGAAGCTCAGAGCTATTACAGGGAGCCCCTTCTCTGGCACCTATGCGGTTGTGTCAGCATGTTATGGTCAGCACCAGGAGGACGGGGGCACTGTCACCAAACCCCGACAGCCCAGAGCCCCTCGCAGCCTTACCTCCCACTGTGTCTCCTCCAGGGCAGGCCCGAAGCTGGTCTTCTCCCTCTCGTAGGACCTGAGCTTGGTCTCCAGCAGGTCCTGCTCCTTCATGAGGCTCTCAAGCTCCTGCCGCAGCTGCCGCTTCTCCTGTTGCAGCTGCAGAACCTGCAGGGGCAGCGCCTGCTGGGCGCGCTGACTCTTCTGCGAGGCCGGCTTCAGCTTGCCGCCGCCATCCAGCTCGTCCCGGCAGCGCCGCGGCCGCTCCTCGTAGACCTGGCCAGCGGCCAGCTCCTTCTCCTCAAAGCTGCGCTGCAGCCTGTGCAGCGCGCCCTCCCTCTCCCGCAGCTTCTGCTCCAGCTCCTGGAGGCTGCACTCGTCCGTGGAGATGGGCGAGCGGACGCAGGAGGGGCCCTTGTCTGCCTTGTTTGCGTGGCCCAGCTTGCTGCCCCCGTCGGAGAAAGACAGTGCCTTCAGGCTCATCATGTTGCTATCCTGGAGGACAATGCCCTGGGTGATGTTGTGGGCCGAGCCTCCAAAACGGCTGGTGGGTCCCACGGGGGTGACCAGCGGGTCCAGCTGGTAGCTGCTGCTGGTGCTGTGCGTGGGCAGGCTGGACATGGAGTTGCGGCCGGAGTCAGACAGTGCTCCTGAACACAGGCTGGGCTTCAGCTCCTGCTCCTTGGGTTTGTCTGGAGGAGCGGGGTGCAGCTGGTGGCCGGCGCTCTCCGGGGAAGAGTGTAGGGTGGCCCCTGAGCGCGGCAGCACAGGCTTGAAAGCGGTGGGCCTGGCCACACCTTTGTCAGAGCCCTGGGGAGAAAAAGGACTGGACTGACCCCAAGTCTCCCCAGCAAGACCATCCCACCTGTCCCTTGTCACCAGGTCTGAGTGTCTGCTTTGGCCAGCCGAGCTCAGGAAGCCATGTGGCAGCCTTCCTGGTCATTGACCACAGCAGACTTTGCCTATTGCTCTGAAGTAGCTGAACGTGGTGAATCTTTCTCAAGAAAGACAAAATCCTCTCTCCTGGCTGGACACCTTTTTTTTGAGACAGAATCTCACTTTTTTGCCCTTGGTAGAGTGCTGTGGCATCATAGCTCACAGCAACCTCAAACTCTTGGGTTCAAGCAATTCTCTTGCCTCAGCCTTCGAAGTAGCTGGGACTACAGACACTCACCACAGCATTTGGCTATTTTTAGAGATGAGGTCTCGCTCTGGCTCAGGCTGGCCTTGAACTTGTGATCTCAGGCAGTCCACCGCCTCGGCCTCCCAGAGTGCTGGGATTACAGGTGTGAGCCACTGTGCCCAGCCAGCATGTTCTTAAATAATGACCTAGGTCCCTTGTTCTATGAAATAGCAACCTGCCACCAGCTTTTCCCAGCCTTCCTGAGAGGATAAACACCACTCATAGGTTCCTGCTCTGGGTCTTTGTGTAGCATGGGGCAGGGTATTACACTGGATGGGCTTAGTGTCCTAGACCTTTCTTCACCTTTGGTGCCTCTTATATTAAACCTGGGGCAAGAACACTGACCATGGCCTCCTCACAGGGTTGTAGGGCTGGAAGGGTTATGTGAAATAATCCTTTTTTAAAACCCTAATTTTCATTGGTAGAGTGCCTTGCAGTTTACAAGGCTTTTAGTTTGAAAAGCTGAATGCTCTATGCAAACATAAAGAGCCCTTTCCTAGTAAACCAAAGCTGTGGGTTCATTCCCCCAGGGGAGTGACGGGGACTGAGTAGAAAAATTGTTTTCAGTATCCTTGGGTTATATCCCTGAGTGCCTGAGGTGGCCTGAGGGCTGGATTTCTGAGTACCTGGGACTCTTTTGCCCTCATCCCTGCTAAATAGACCATAATAAATTCTCAGCCCATATTCAGCCAAAGACTCTTCTGGTCCAGCTTGAACAAGGAGCTACTTCACACCAGGGCAGCCAACCAAAAAACCCACCTCCATAGATCTACCAGCCAGAGCAGCCACAAACTCCCACCCTGTGGAGGGTCTAAACTTTCAGGTCACCATCCCCCCTTCACCCACATTCTCCACCCCCCAGTTCCTTCCAGCCTTTCTGACCCACCCGTCCTTGCCAGAACTCCCGCTTACCATGTCTAGCTGATTGGAGAAGGGCAGGAGCTTGGGTGGGGTGGATGGGTCGAAGTCCACCCCCGCCGGGCCCGTTAGGTCTCCGCTGGACAGCGCTGTGTAGTCTGGGCGGTGGGAGCCCCGGGCCTTCTGGCTGACCTTAATGTAGAAGAAGTCTTCGCTCTTGCCCATTTTGGAGCTAGACTTGCCATGACCCAAGTCCTGGGAGAAGCCGAAGCGCAGCAGCCCGTCGGAACACCGGTTCAGCTTCTTAAGGTGGGAAGATTTGCGCAGCTTGTACTGGGACGCCCGACAGTGCTTGCTGTGGAAGCTGTGGCCGGAGATGAGGCTGCTGACGCTGCCCATGGCGACTCTGGGCCGAAGAAGGCTGGGCTGGGTGGGGCTGCAGCAGCGGGGTGCAGTCCTGGCTCCACAAGGGGCCTGCGGTCATAGCAAGAGCCTCACAGAGCCTGGGAGGGCCATGACCTAGATGGAAGGAGACAGAGGACAAAAGTCATACGAGGACGGACCAGTCACTGCATAGTCCTTGGTGGTGACTGAGGAGTGATTATTCCAAATGCTCCAACAAGGAGTAGAGAAACGCACGTCGGAAGCCCAGCTCTGTCTCTACTCCTGGCCCTCCATCCAGTCTTTCTTTGTCCACTAATTCAGCAAACATCACCGAGATTCCATTTCAGGATGGGCTCTGCTCTGAGCACTGGGGTTCCAGCAGTGACTAACGAGGTCACAATCTCTGAACTCTTGGAACTTAAGTTCTGTGTGGTGTGGACAGGTCCTAAGCAGATCAGAATACACCACAGCATGTGATACACATGTGTGGGGGAAACCGGAGCAGGGAGAGTGGAACAGAATTCTGGCAGGTGGCTGTTTATGCAAGAAGGCCTCTCTGTTAGGGTAGCATTTAAGAGATCTCAAGATCACACAGGGACAAGCCACATGGAAATCGGTGGAAAGAGAGCTTACCAGAGGAAGCCCAAGGGCAAGGGAGGGTAGGAGGAGAGCCAGCGTGCTAGCAGGTACCAGATTGCAAGGAGCCCAAGTGGCTCTAAGGCCTTCAGGGTGGCCCTGTTTGAGATGAGGAGCCCTGGGTTAGCAGCTGACACCTCGCTCTGCCTTAGGCGGGAGAGGGTCACTCTGGCTGCTGGGTGGGAAGCTTGCTGGGGGTGGGGGCAGGTGCAAGTGGTAGCCTGGGTAGGCACAGCACTACCAGAGTTGGCCCCGGTAATGCTAGGGGGTAAATTTCAGATGTAGTTGTAAGGTGGAGCTGATAGGCTTTGCTAAAGGATTGGATGTGGGGAGAGGGAGAGAGACAGAGTGAGAGAGCCATCAAGGATGACTCCAGTCTTTTCATCTAAGCAACTAGCAGCAGAAAGCTGCCACATTTACTAAGTAGCAAAAGACCACAAGAGAAGTCAGTTTAGGGTGAGGAGGGGGTGGGGAATGGCTCTTTGGTTGGAGACGTTCCATTTGCAAAGCCTGTTAGGCACCCAGGGGTGATGGCAAGCAGGCAGTGGGGTGTGGGGTCAGCCTCAGAGCTGCAGGTTCACACGTCCCAGTTGTGAGTGTGTAGAAGGCAGCTGCGGGATGGCACGGGGTCCCCAGAGAGCAGATGCAGACAAGGGAGAGTCTCGGTGGCAGGCTCCAGCATCAGGAGGTGAGACAGGTGAGGAGGGGTGAGGAAGAGAGACAGAGAAGCTTCTGACAGGTGATGCAGGAAACAAAGAAAGCCAAGGAAAGAAACTGTTTCAAAAGGATGGTGCCAAGCGGTGCCAAAGGAAGATAACAGCTGGAAATTGGTTGATGGATTTGGCTGTGCCATTGGTAACCTTGACAAGAGCAGTTCTTGGACTGGTGGTGGGAAGGCGGATTGGAGATGGCTCAGAAGAGAGTAAGCCTTGAACACCGAGAAGTCCGTGATGGGCCTGGTTTGCATTCTTGCCATGTCACCTGCCCCCCATGACATGGGTGTCTGTTTAACCTCCTTACCCTTCAGTTTTGCAAATAAATTCTAAGACACAGTTAAACTTTTAAAAAAATGTTTGCAGCAGGGCAGGGTGGCTCACACCTGCAATCCTAGCACTTTGGGAGGATGAGGCAGGTGGATTGCTTGAGCTCAGGAGTTCGAGACCAGCCTGAGCATGAGCAAGATCTCGTCTCAACTAAAAATAGAAAAACCTGCTGAGTATCGTGGCAGGTGCCTGCAGTTCCAGCTACTTGGGAAGCTGAGGCAAGAGGATTGATTGCTCAAGCCTAGAAGTTTCAGGTTGCTGTGAGCTGTGACTCCATAGCACTCTAGCCAGGGCACAGAGTGAGACTCTATCTCAAAAAAACAGTTTGTAGCTTATAATCAATACTTAATAACAGCAATATTGCAGTCAGCAGACAGAGGAATAACTTGTGACCTTAATGCTGGCATGCGTGGAGTTCAGGCAAATCTCGAAGCATGGATCTCATGATTTTTAAAGCCCAGAAGGTTGCGTGATTATCATGTCCTGTAAAGTATTTCTCAATCAGTCGAAAGGAACCTGTGTTCTTGGATCTGCTCTAAATCATACCATCAATCCAAAAGAAACCCCAGGCAGGACATGGAGAACTGCTGTGCACAGCTGAAAGGGAGCCAGAGATTCTTCAACTCTGAAATCCAAGACGGAGAGGAGGAGATAAAGGAACCACAGGCCTCGCCCTGAGCGTGGCATGGCACTGTCCTCTGTGTGAGCACCGGCAGTATCCACTAGAGTTAGGATTTCAGCCCCTCAGAGCAGAGAGAAGAAGAGAAGAGGAACCTGAGGTAGCTGGTGGAGAAGCACCCCAGGCTTACACATCTTGGGGTCCAGCCCCAGGGAATTCAGGAAGGCCTCTCACCCCTGAACTGTCCCAGACCCTACACCCCTTCTGCAACCCACCATCAGGGAGGGTGTCTGCCCTACCAGGACAAGACCGGCCCAGGGAGTCATGGGAAGCCCTCCCTTTCCAGGCTCTCCACTCCCCTTGAGTGTAGTGGGAACCTCTGAGTAAATACCCCCTTCTTCTCCCCCGTTCTATACTCTCCTTCCCAGAGGAATCCAAGCCTCCAGCCTGAAGTGCTGTGTGGCTTGGTCATCCTATTCCTGACCATGGAGACAGAGGCATGGAGTTGAAAAACGGGGTCTGTCTGGACTCTGGGAGATGAGAAATAGTGGGACTCCTTCCCCCATCCCAGACCAATTCTGTCCCTTCCTGAAGGGTGAAGCTGCTATACCCTGGTACACAACAAATCCAGGTTTCCATGTCACCCTCCTCTTCCTCCTCTCCCCCATGCAGTCTGGGTGGAGTCACTGCCAAGGTCATCTCCCCTCCTTTGCCCTCCCCTGCAGACCACATTGCCTGCCCTAAGCAGCCTAAGTAGTGGTCCTGTGAGCAAACTCAGGGCTGTGCTGTGGGGCATCTCTGCACCCTGCAGGTCACCTGCACCTGCCATGTCCTCCAAGTGCCACCTTTGCCGTGGTTGCACCACAAAGACACAAGCTGTCATGATGCCCACTCCCCAGACACAGCCAGCTGAGCACGTCCTCTGTAGCTGCCATGCCACGCTACTGAGCTGCTGGCTAGGCTGAGCTGCTAATGGGACTGAGGAGTAGGCATCCACTGGGTCATTTATTCAGCATCTGAGGTTGGCCCAGCTCTGTGCAAAATGCAGACAGTGAGGGATTGGGGGGGCAGAAGGAAGGAGAATAGTAAGTGAATAGTAGAAAATAAAAGTCAAAGAGATAGAGTGAGCGACAGGGTGTATGTGTGTGTATGCACCTGTCTCTCTGAGCACCTGTGTGTGCATGCGTGTATGCATGTGTGAAGATATACATGTGTGTGCACAGGGGTGTGTGCGTACTATTTTAGGTGGAGTGAGCAGAAAGCTTCTGGGAAGATAATACTGGAGAAGAGCCATCCTTATACAGTTTTTTAAATAAAATGGTCCCCTCCTCAGGAACAGCAAGTGCAAAGGCCCTGAGGCAGGAATGAACTTGGGTGTGGTGTTTCAGAGCAGTGGTCCTCGGAGGGTGTGATTTGGAACTACCTGGAGAGAGGACATTTTTGTTGTTGCCATGGGGTGCTGTGGGCCCAGGCTAGGGAGAAGAGGCTAAACATCCTGCAGGGAATGCTTCCTCAATGAAAGAGCAACAAAGAATTACCTGACCCAACTTGTCCATAGTTTGGAGATGGAGAAACGTGGTTTGCGAGGAACAGAAAGAAACTGTGAGGTTAGAATCTCAGCTATGTCACGGACTCAGGGTGACTTTTCGTAAGTGATTTCACGTCTCCATGCCTCAGTTTTCTCACTTGTAATTAACACACCTGCCCTGTCACATGGCTTCATTATGAAGAGGAAAGGAAGTGAGAACTCAGATAGTATTCCGGAAAATCCCCACTGCCGCTTTTTGTTGGCATATGTTCTCATGATCATTCCCCAGGAGAGTTCTCTGAGATGTTCAGCTTGTTCGAGAGCACTGCAGGGCTGTACCCCCCCAGGACAGAGCCTGGCCTGGCCACAGGGATCTCGGTGCCACTCCTTGTCCCAGCATCCCCTGAACTTGGAAGCAGGCAGAGCCTGCTTTGACCTGCTTTGTGACCCCCTTTGAAGGGGGGTCAGTTTACAACTACAACATGAGAGCTGGATTCATTTTAGCTTATTTTTTTTCTTTTTTTGAGACCTGTTGGAAATTTAATGAGAGCGATTAACCCCTTCTTCAGGAAAATGCACCCTCCTCCAACATTTTGGCTGTGACTTCTAACGGTTCCCTGACCCCGAATGCCCCTCAATTGGCCTAGTTTAAACACATCGAAATATCTGGCTCTAGGGGATCAAACACAGAACTTCAGGGAAGAACAAAGAGCTTGGTCTTAGGTTACTAAAATGGCTTTGATGATTCCCTGCTTCCCTTTAGGGGTTGGAGAGATGGGGGCCAGGTGAAGAAGTGAAACCAAACCAAAGGTGTCATGTTCCCCTCCAGTACTCAGACCACAGCATCCAGCCACCCCAGTTCCCTAGACATGGGCAGACATAGTTGTTTATTTGTCTATTTTAGAGACAGGGTCTTGCTTTGTCACCAAGGCTGGAAGGCAGTGGGTGATCATAGTTCACTGCAGCTTTGAACTCCTGGGTCAAGCACTCCTCCTGCCTCAGCCTCCTGAGTAGCTGAGACAATAGATGCATGCACCATTTCACCTGGCTTATTTTTGTAGATGGGGTCTTACTATGCTGTCCAGGCTGGTCTCAAACTCCTGGCCTCAAGTGATCATCCAGCCTCAGCCTCCCAAAGTGCTGAGAAACTTTAGCCCTACTTCAAAGGGGGTCACAAAGTAGAGTGGAGGAAGGGGCCTGGGAAGTCAGGCAGTGAGGAT